GCGGATGGTGCGGCACTGATATTGACTGTGAATAATGGGGCATTGAATCTAAATCGTGTAAATTTGACTCTGGATTGTATGAGACTGATTTTGAATGAGACGCAACTGATTGCGGGAAATGTGGCATTGTTACCGAATTATGTGTGACACGTTCCGAATGTTGAATGACTGGTTCCGCGCGATATTGAATTGATTCTGAATATAGTGTGGCTGGTTCTGAAACCTCGATATTTGAGTTTGAATGCTGCTGTGCTGATGCTGAATTTGCATGTGACACGGAAGGCAGTTCAGACGCATCACTCACAGTTGCCGTGGAGTGCTGTTGAACAGATTCTGAATGCAATGCAGATGATTTTGATAGAATAGAGTTCCGCTTTGCATGATATTTCGCAGTTCTTCGCTGATGCTTTGCAAGTACTTCGTTGAGATACGTTCGAGGATTTTCAATTTCTTGTAGCTTACCAGTACTTTTCAACATCGGATGCCACATTGTTTTGAGATCAAGTCTTGGCGAGTTATCTCGATTCACGGATGTGTCTACACGATTTAGTTGCGATGGAGCGTCCGAACTTGCGAGTAAATCATTACTAGTCTGAAACATTTTAGAATGATTTTTCTCACTTTCCATCGATAGAGTTTAAAAAATTATCACTGATGAATTTAGTTGAAGTAAATTTATTAATAATTTGTGCAAAATTTTGAAAAAATGCGAAATTTGTGCCATACTGTGTTCTGTGCATCTGACAGCGCCAACAGTGTCAGCAATGCAAGAAGAATATTCGTCACGGAGACTGATGCCACGACTGCGCCTTTCATCACTGCGTCGCACTTGAGAAGCTCTACAAACCGAAATTGATCAGTGCTTCGGTCCTTCGTCGGTTCTGCAACAAATTTTGCCTTAAATGAGCGCTCAAGTCCAATTTCACGTTCAAATCAGCCAAGTTTGAACGAGAAGTATCACTTGCGTTTTGTCGGAAGAAAGCAGCACTAATTTTGGCTCAAGCAAACGTGGCATTGCTAGCAGCACTTTTGTTGAATTTTATGTGCAATGTAATGAAATGCAAATCCTTTTCATATTGTGATTTAATCAAAACTTTGTGATCAATCTTTAAACTTTGCTCATATTTGTTTGCAAGTCATAAAATGTGTTTGTTGAGAATTGCAATACACCTCTTTCTCTATAATTTATTCAGATCCATCAAAGATCCTCACGTGGTTCTTTGCTTGAATTCGGCAAATTACTGCAAAAACTGTTGCCTCTCAACAGATTTCTGTCTCTGCACGCATTTTTCGCGTGCTTTCTGACTTTTCCAACTGCCTTCTTTTCCTATTATTTTCACGATTGCGTGCACCTTTTGCAGCATAAGAAGTCTTCCGTCGGAAATTTGATCACTTATTTGCAGAAATTTCGCTGCCCAAGTCATTAGGACGACAATACAACGCTTTTTTACGGTTATTTTTGAGAGGTAAACTTTGTTGGCTTCGATAAAGTGGCATTTAGTATTTTGCATTTAGTGTAAAGTATTGCTAAGATTATTCATTTTGAAAGAGTAATCTAGTTGAATTTGACCTCAAAGGATAT